CCCCAGATTTGAAGGAGACACCAGAGACCCTGAGATATCGCCCCTGAGTGATCGCAACCACCCCTTTTTAACATCTCACTAATAGTAAGTCAAACGAACACATAAAAATATACATTTTCTCCTCAATTTTTCCACTAATACTCCCCCCACATACCTTCTGGTTTTTCTTGGATCCCAACTAACTGTATGTATCTAACTGTGTGCGCTATAATAAATTCAGTAAACGGCATTCGAAAATCTCTTTCTTGGTGTTAACTCCTCTGTATAATAACCATTGTATACTTTAGTGTTTAATCTCACGCAATCTGATCCCATCCAATTATATTTCGAAAATGCGTTTCCCTTTCTCGGTCACTTCTGTTGTAAATAATTACGGTCAGATCGACTCGAAGAGTCGATTTTTCTTTATTATTCCACGTCATCAAATAACGAAGTTTCCGCAACAATGGGATAATCATTTCCGAAATACAATTCGAGATTCAAAATTGATCGTATATTTACCCTCAAGATTTCCTCCGTACAAATAAACTCGTCAAGTTTTCCATGAAAATTTTTCAATCTGGACAACTTAAGTCCTACGTTTGTTTGCAACGAACATATAGAGAAATATCCGATAATTTTAAAGCTCTTATGGTATTCTACGTAACCATAATGTTGAAATTCCGGACATTCTTGAGAAGGAAAGCACAGCCATTGGGTGCCTTACGCAATCGAGGTAGTCGTAACCCTATCCAATTTTGCTTGACTGCAGCTACGGTAGTTGACTCCGAAACGCACTCATTATGAACGCACTCAGTAAATGCACTCGCGCACTCGCAATGCCGAAACGCACTCAGTAAATCTACCGCCTAATTTCAAACACGCATGTTCATGCTACTCACTGTTGAGATATCAGCTATGGGTCATATGAGCATCTGATAACTTCGAAGCATGCAAATATCATTATCCATAGTCGGTACCTATACGGACGTGAATAAAAGGGACAATGTGTGGTATTTGGAAGTATTCGCGGATAAGAATAAAAGCAAAATTACCGACCGAAACGTGAAGGTATAAATCAAAAATAGAAATAAAGAGAGCGGGTCAATCGAATGACCAGAAAGACAATTTTAATTTGACTCTCGACCTCTTCTCCTGCGAACCGCTGAGGCGTGCACACGTGCTCTGGCACTTAGAATATTGTACTGGTCGACTGCGAGCCTCACCACGCCGCCGATCACGACTTGTGGAGATTATTTTGACTGTGGATTGACGGGAGCCCTGGAGTTTCGGGGACGAACACGGTGACAAGGAGTCAACGGATGATCGGACGGGTAGAATTTTCTTTACCAACCACTGCGGAAATCCAGATGAGTATATGAAGTTGCTAACACGTGTGTACCGGGTCGGGAGAGAGCATATTTTCTTGTATTTTTTGAGTTTGAAGTCCAATGTATCGGATCGAATGAATTTTATATTTTATGTAATTTTTTATTATCTGATTTATATGAACATTAATTGGAATGATTTAATGAAAGAGGAGTGATTAATGCGAAATTTATGAAAAGTGTTATACATAAGGGTCGATGGAATTTTCGATGCGATATCTTTCGATATTTTGATTATATTTGGAAGGATGTGTGATGACGTTCTAACTGGCAAAATCTATCTCAATAATTAAAATCTAATTATTTTCTCACGAATGAAATCTGACAAGGAACACTACGCAGGTGTTCCCCTCCGATTTCGATGAAATTTAAATCTGTTATAGGGGATCCAAAACTAAAGGACACGTATTTTTTTTAGCTGCCCATATTGGGTTTTAGGGGGTGAAAGTACTCTCTGAAATTGACCACCTCTCGGGGTCATTTTCCGATTGCACACATAAGGAAGCTTTTTGAACAACTCTTTCGCAGTATATCATGAAGGTCATAAGGAATGCTGAAAATGCGAATTAGAACCGTCTCCGGGGGGTGAAATATGGAGGGTAAACTACCCTTGTGAAAATTCATTTTTCTCATAGAAAAAAAACTTTTGATGGAAATCCCATGGGATAAATTCCATTTGAAAAAGTAGAAAAAAATGCAGAACACCTGTTTTGATTTTTTTTTTAATCGAAATTTAAAACTTAAAAAAATTGATTTTTCGTGAATTGCGAAATTTCAAACTTTTTCCTGTATAAAACGAAGCTTACGGCTAATGATGAGGAAAACCGTTGGGACAGGATCCAGGAGTGGTCCAATGAA